GATCTTTTAAAACGTAATGCATAATTGAATACAGACTATAGATAGAATTTATAGTTAGGTAAGTTAGGTTTTCTAGATATACAGAGATATATTTGAAATAGATAGTCTTCAAACCTTTCAAAGACCTTCAGAAAATGGCATTTAAAGTGGTTTAGGATTTTTCTTGACAATGAGAAATGTCTGCTCCTGGCAGTACCAATTATGTCTGAGAGGAATATGGGCATCGAAGAAACTCGGTTATGGAGTTTGCTTTCAACATGGAAAGATTAGCCATTTGGGCAAGAAATTGCTGTTGCCTAGACTGTTTGACTGTTGCTGTATAAACTGGACATGCAGGACCCACAGGAAAGTGACTGCTGAACTCAGTCTTACAGGGTTCCTACTTCATGGAAGAGTCTACGAGACTTTCTGCAGGACACAGAGAAATGACTGACAGACTGCCAATGCAGATGGACAGTTTTGAAATTTCCTGATTTGCTGAGAAATCTTCTGGACACATTGTGGCCTATGGGCTGAAGATGGATGCCCCAACATTACAGAGGAACTTTGGGTGACTGTCCAGGTAGCAAGATGTCTCTGTCAATCCTATTGTTTATATATTATCCTTCTGTGGTCTTTGATAGAGTTGAAGGCAGATAGTTATAATTATAGTTTTCCTTAGTTATGATAAAAGATAAGCTACATATAGAACTTTGGACTCACAAGAATGGGATGGATGATATTCTCTTTAAATCTTGCTAAAATATTGTAACTATGTTCTTACTTGATAACTGTTCTGTTATATATAATTTGACTATGTTAAAGTTAAGACCTTTCTTTTTGTTTAAACAGAAAAGAGGAGATGTTGGGGAAGTCCTGTGTATATGTCAATAAAGCACTGTTGGACAATAGGGAACCAAGATAGGTGGGACTAGGAGTCCAGGAAGACTCTGGGAAGGAGACACACAGAGAGTCAAGATGTAACGCCATGGGGTAGGAAGTCCGGAACTTTGCTCCGGTAAGAGAAATACTTAGATTAACAATTACGGGGTAAATACTTAAGTCAGAGCTAGCCAGTAAGAAACAAGCAAGGCCAACAGCTTCATAATTAATACAGCAGCTTGTGTGTTATTTGGGGACTACAACGTGGCAGAGCCCAGGCGACTGATGGGTGATAAACCAAAGCGGCTAGCAAAGAAAAAGGCTTCCCTTTACACAAGTTAGTTATGAAGGAAGAATTACAGTTACAATATTTAGCCTATTTGCATTTGGCAAAATATTCTATCACCTATCCTATCTTTGTGAATCTAAAGTTTTATATCTAATTTATTTTTTATCATAACTAAGGAAAACTATTATTATAACTATCTGTCTTCAACTCTATCAAATACCCCAGAAGGATATAATATTAGTTTAGTAAACAGGAAGTGCATTGTAAGCAATTTCCAAAACTCTAGAAATGACAGAGATATCTGGCTGCTTGGACTGTCACCCAGAGTTTTTTCTGCAATGTTGGGGCATCCATCTTCAGCCTACAGGCCCATATTATCTGGTAGACTTCTCAGTGAAGCAGGAATTTTGAAGATCTGTTTTGCCTTGTACTGGCAAAGTTTTTTAGTTGCTTCCTTCTGTGTCTTGCAGAATATCTGACAGCTTCTTGGGTGAAGCAGGAACCCTGAATAACCACCCTGTTTTGTTTTAGAAAGCTCAGTAGCCACTTTTCTGTGGTTCCTGCATATCCAGTTTATATAGTGTACAGCCAAGCGGTCCAGGCAAGAGCAGTTTCTTGCCACACTGAGAGCAAACTCCATAAGGAACTTCTTCAATGCCCATCATCCTTTTGAAGTAATTGGTGCTGCCAGGAGCAGATGTGTCTCACTATCGAGAAAAGTCTAAATGCCATATTCTGTAGGTCTTTGAAGTGTTTGAAGATTACCTATCCATCTTTACTATATCTCTGTATATCTAGAAAACCTAACTAGCATGTTTATAAGTTTGACTATTATAGATGACTATTAATTTGTATTTCTTAACTATACATTATACTTTTAAATGAGCTGCATAAACATAATACCTTTAAACAAGAGTAGAAATATACAAATAGCAGAACAAAATTGACTTTATATTTGTATCAATAAATCAAAATCCATACCAATGTAGAGTATCTTAAGATTAAAGTTTTTTTTTATTAAAGTAGATTCAATAATCTACTTTTTTTCTTCATTTCTGTATCATATCCTCCTTTTTTTTCTGTAGAGACTATGACCATTAACAATTTGTAGCTAACCCCTTAAATGAAAACAAACATTATAAGCTATCATTTTGGGAATTGGGATGTAGTTTTCTATACTACTTCCTGCTGATTGAGGGGTGCTACTAATCTTATGGGGATCCTGACTGGGGCATTTTGTGTAGTTGGTCATCTCAGCCAGAAGTCCTAAAACTTATGAATGTTGGATCACCTGGGTCATTGTTTAAGGGGTTCTTGTTTGATCAAACCATATTAGCCTGGAAGGAATCCACAGCTTTTCATCTTCTGTGGAAATAAAAGTAGAACCTCTTTTACAAAGCAACATATCCTTAGACTCAAATTTTGAAGTCAAGATACCTTTAAAATATATATCTTGGTTTAGCTTAGCAGCCCCCACCATCAAATGTCTCTGTGTAGTTAGCCCATTAACAGTCAAAAAATTCAAAGAAAACACAATAGTGTACATAATCCTGTCCACTATGCCAAGCATGAGCAGAGTTAGAGAGACCTTACCCCAAGCTTATCAGTTGTTACATAGCAGATAAGGCCACACCCCAGGCCTGGTGCCCCAAGGGTATAGGAGGAATGAGTTCCCACAAGGGTCTATATAGTCCTGGTTATCCCAGACATCACTATGTTGATCAAATTGGCTTTGAACTCACAGAGATTTGCCTGCCTCTGTCTCCTGTGTGTCATCACGCCATCATTCCCAGCTCACATGAGTTTTGTTATCAACAGTTGAACACAGTTTTACAAAGTAGTAGTATATCACCAGTTCCCGTTCACCCAGAGCACAGGAAACCATGGTTGGCCACACCTATTTGACAACAGATTCTCACACTGTGCCATTTTTCACAGCTTGCCTTTGCTTGTTTGAGCTGAAGATCTTGTAATTTTATTGCCAGGCTCATGTTTTTCAGTTTCATAGATGACTGATTCATTTTACCAGGTTTCAAATTCAGCAAGGTGCTGGCCTGTGTGTGTGTGTGTGTGTGTGTGTGTGTGTGTGTGTGTGTGTGTGTGTGTGTATGTGTGCGCGCACATTTGCATGCCTGTGCTTGCACAGTTAGCTGACTTTCTTATTTGAATGGTTAAGTACCATTCTTTTGTCCATTTCATATCCACAGGATGGCCTGCAGCTCACTACCAGGCTAAACTCTGAGCAATGCTCCTGCCTCAGTGTCCTGAAATCCGGGATTCCCACCACATCAGGCTACCATCAGTTTCCCTTCAAGTGTCTTTTCAGTTGCTAAAGACAGGTTTCCTTGATGTTCTCACCTGCAGAGGTGGTAGGAGGAGTCTGTGATTGTCCTGCTTCCTGTCAGCTGCTGCTGGACAGACCCCCGAGTATGTCTGTATACCACATGTAGGTAGTGCTGGCAGAGCCAGAAGGTGGTGTCTGGTCTCCTGGAACTGGAGTTACAGATAATTGTGAGCCACCATTTGGGTGTTGGGCCCAGCACTCTCCAGCACCAGTGGGGTTTTATCACATTAACATCTCTTGGTCCCAGGCCGGATTTCTCATGGCATTTTCTGACATTTTCTTTATTATCACTGCTTCTGGAGGTCCCAATGGGTGGTTACTGGACCTTAGTGATTGGACCATAGCAGGGCAGAACATGGTAGAGCACGTGGGAACAAGGCTACCCATTTCATGGCTTCGCGAACTCTTTTTTTTTTTGTTGTTTTTTTGTTTTTGTTTTTACGAGACAGGGTTTCTCTGTTTTGGAGGCTGTCGATCCAGCCTGGCCTCGAACTCACAGAGATCCGCCTGCCTCTGCCTCCCGAGTGCTGGGATTAAAGGCGTGCGCCACCAACGCCCGGCTCTCGAACTCTTCAGTTGGAGTGGTTTTGGTTGTATTGTTAAGAGCTTAACCCAAACCAGGTATGCTTGTATTTTCAGCAGTTTGATTTTGAATAGTTTTGTTATTTATTTGTTTATTGTGTGTGTGTTTACAGTGGATGTGTAGAGGAAAACTTTCAGAAGTCGTTTTTGTTCACCAGCCATGTAGGTTCTGGGAATCGAAGTCAGGTTGCCAGGCTTGGTAGCAATCACCTGTGACCTGCTGAACCACCTCACTGGCCCGAGTTTTATGATTTTTGAGAGATTTAGCTAAGGGTTTTGGCTTGTGCCTGTAATTCCAGATGAAGCTAAAATGAGAGGATTAAAAAAAATTGTTGGTATCCAGATGAGAGAGCCAACATTTTAGAAAGTTTCCAATCAGCTTCTCTATGTACAAACAGAAAGAAGCCTTGGTATTCTTATAAGCGTTAAAGCTGAGCTGTGTTTTTCAGGTACTTACTTAGTCATATTTACTTGTGAGCTATTGGGACATTATTGTTTGGTTAAGTGATAATTTTATTTTGCATAGTTTGTATTATATGCTTTATATAGTTAAATTATAGAGTATCATGTTCTAGAAAAGCAGTGTAAATGAAAAGATGCTTTTCTTTTTTGAGACAAGTCTATTGTAGTTTAGTCTAGCCTCAAATTTGAATTCAGCTGAAGATGAACTTGAACTTCTGATCCTCTTACCTCCCCCCCAATGCTGGGATTACAGGCATGGGTCACAGCTCCTGGTTTATGCAATGCTTGGAATTGAATCCAGGGCCTTGTACATGCTATGCAAACACTCTACCAACTGAGCTACAGCCTCAGCTTGTTTTGCTTATTTTCAGTTTAAATTACATTTAATTATTTAAGTAACTGTAGCAGAATGGCGCCATATAATAGGTGTTGTTTACTTATTTTCCTTATTTTTTCTTTTAGTACATTGAATTTTATAAAAGAATGGAATCAAGTGATGGCTTTTTCTTTAGAATTTGAATATGGAGGCTTCAGGAACAGATGAAGTTGACAAACTAAAAACTAAATTTATGTCTGCTTGGAACAACATGAAATACAGTAAGTACTGTCGCTTAAGCATTGTGTAAGTGTACTTGAGAATGAAATACTGTATTATTATGACTGGAATAGTCATGGGGTATGGATGGAATGTCAGAATGTCAACAGTGCTGATTAGAGCTTCTTGAAAAAAAGTGGAATATATTCATGGACATTGCTTAGAGACTCAAATACGCTGTATTGAAATGTGGGTATGATCTGTAACCCCAGATTTCTGGATGCAGAGACAGGAAAGCCTATGAGTTCAAGGCTAGCCTGGTCTATATAGTAAGCTCAGCTCAGTGAGGACTGTATATGAGACCCTCCCTCGGGGTGGGAGGCACCAAAGAAGTAAATATGTGATATGGAACTAATTTTTTTCTAATTTGGTAGAATATTTTGATATCCTCATGGCTTATGTGCATATGAATTTGTCCAGGCTATAAAACTTCTCAAGTTCCTTGAATTCAGTTTCAGGAAGTTTCATATGTAAACCAGGAAGTAGGCAGAATTGACAAAATAGATGGTGTCAAGTTCATTTGCCAAGATGTGTGGCTTTCTTCTAGGTGAAGTCCCCTGGACTTTACTTTTAGCGTTTTCTTGGCAAACAAAATCCAAACAATCAAATCTAATCAGGATTGTTGGGGTGATGAAGCCCTCAGGGAGGGAGAAGTCCTTAGGCTGCATTCCGGTTTTAGTGCTTGCTTAGTTGCTTTGAACAAATGTCTGACAAGAAGGAATGTGAATGAGGAGCGGGTTAGTCGGGCTCATAGTCTAGAGCACACTCCAGTAAGTGTGTGTCATGGCGGCAGCAGCCACATTGCACCTGTGGTCAGGGAGCAGAGTGAGACCAGTGTGTGCTTGGTGTGTCCTGTGCTTACTCCCTTTTCCTGAGTCTGGGACTGCATCTCAGAACAGTGTTACCAACACTTAGGGACTTAGGGTATTTATTTCCCCTCAGTGAAATGTTTCTGGAAACACACACACACACACACACACACACACGTTTAGTCGAGTTGACATTAAAAATTAGCCTGGCCGGGCGGTGGTGGCGCACGCCTTTAATCCCAGCACTCGGGAGGCAGAGGCAGGCGGATCTCTGAGAGTTCAAGGCCAGGCTGGACCGACAGCCTCCAAAACAAAACAGGGAAACCCTGTCTCGTAAAAACCAAAAAAAAAAAAAAAAAATTAGCCTGTAGCGAGCCGCCTGTGTGTTCATGGCTACGCCGCTACCATACTTCACAATGATCCGAGGCTCAGGGCTAAGGATATAAAATGAAGACAAAGACAGTGGCTCATTCTTACAAGGAGAATGGCATTTTATTATTACAAGGGTGGAGCCTTAAATACCAAAGGCAGGCATGGTGGAAAATCCCTGAGATAGAAGCCTACATTCCCAGGGCCCTCCAGCAAAGGGTGGGCCCAAAACAGGAATTAGCATTTAGACAAAGGCTGGATATAAAACAGGAACTTGCATGCAGGCCTTACTGGGAGGAGGGGATGAGTAGTGTTTAGCTAAAAGCTCCAACTAACAAGCGGTCAGCAGAACCCCACGGGGGAAGGGTGCAGCACTCCCCCTCTTGTCAACTTGACACCCAAACAAATCTATTTAAGTCGTCTTCCACCCCTGGTCCCTAAAGTCTCATTTTCATCTCATTAATGCAAAATGCACTTTAGTCTGTCTCTAAATGTACCCATAGCCTTTGACAGTCCCTACACTGTTCAAAATTCCAGAGTCTGTTTTGAGATTCAAGGCAATCTTTTAACTGTGAAGCCCTAAGCAAAACAAAGCAAGCAATCAAGTTACATAGTTCTAATATACAGTGACACAAAATCACTTTCTATTCTAGAAGGAGGTATGGGGGGATACATGGAGAGATCAGATCTACCACAGCCCAGCAGGACAGATGCCAAACCTACAGCGCCATGTCTGGCGTCGGTGCCTACGACGGTATCGCCTGGGTTCCAAAGTGCTTAGCTCCACACCTCCAGCTCTGCCTCCTGCAGCAAGCACAGCTTCTCTCTTCAGCTGGCCCCATCCATATCACTCGCTTTTCTCGATGTAAGCGGTACTGGCTCCCCAGCCTCCCGGGATTTCTATTGCAACTTACATTTTATCATCAGAGTTTCCTGTAGTGACCGACCTCTTAGGGCTTTTCTGCAGGGACTGAAAACCAGACACATGTTACCTGATCTCTGTGGTTTTCTGGAACCTGGGACAAGTTTGCATGGTATCCTCATCTTTCTTGCATCTTTCTTGCCTGAGAAGTGAGCACCACATGGATGATTCTGCCACGTTCTTGGGCCTGTTTGAGATACAGCCTGGCCCAACTGGACCAAAGCTGTAGTGGCTTCTGTGTGCTGTGATGCTTGGTTTTTGAGAAGGGAATCACTTTCAGTGTCGTTCTCAATTTAGGTTCTTTCCTTTTAAATGAATTTATTTATTTTTTCACATGGTGGAGCCCTTGATGGGTGGTGCCATGCCTTCAAGGTATCTTCCTAGAGGTTCTCTTTAACAATCATAGCTGCTTTCTCAGTACCTACCTTATCTACAACTATAAACTCCATTTTTTACCTTCAGATGACATTTTGTGTTTGTGTATACATGATTTGTGTGCTCACATATGGGTGGAGACCAGAGACCAGATGACTTCTTCAGTCACTTTTCTGCCTTCATTTTTAACAGAGGGGTCTGTCCCTGAACCTGGAGCTCACAGTTGTCTAGACAGGCTGGGTAAGCCCCGGGGATCCCGTTTCCTCCTCCCCAGCATTGAGATTACTGATACTTGCTTTTGCACTGTCTTTTTATGTGGGAGCTGGAGATCCAAACTGAGGTCCCGGTGCTTGCATGGCCCACCCTGTCCATCCCGGCATCTCCCCAGCCCCACAACACCCTCTTATGTCTTTGTACCGTCCTGTCACTCATTCTCCCTGTGGACCTGTGTAAAATGATGAGCCTTCTGGGTGTCACATTTCCACTGCCAAACAAATTAGTCTTGACTTTTGAATTCATTCTTACCCGGGTTCTCAGGACACAAGTGGGTTGCAGCTAGTGTCTTTGCCGGAGCATTACCCAAATGCCTGTAACCCCACTTCCATCATAGTCCTTGTTCCCTTCAAGCTGCCCGTGCCGAACCTCCACTGTCCACATTTCTCTGTGTTCTTACAAGAGTGGCCCGTGAAATTCTGCTTACAGTCCTCAGGGCTTTTCTGGCCCAGAGTTCCAAACTCTTCTGAATTCCTTTTGCATAACCAGTTTCAAAGGCCTAAGAAACAAACGGTTTAGGTTCATCACAGTGGCAGGCAATTTTTACAAATTTCTGTAAGCTATAAAAAGGAATTTATTACAGTGCCTCACAGGATAGGACCTGAGTGGTCCAGCAAGGGCTGCCTGCATGCTGGAGGGGCTGATTGCCTGGTGAGTATTCGATCCGTGAAACTGGATGCCCCAGCAGGCCCTGTCTGGTTCTGAAAGTCTAGAGTTGCTGGTCTTTCCATCCATGTTAGAAGGCCCACGAAGTGGGAGTCTGATGGTGGAAGAATGTGGCTGTGGTAGTGGCTGTGGTGGTGGCATCGGTGGCAGCAAGAACAGACAAGATCTTTTTTGAGGTCAGGTCTCATTGAACCCTGGTTGTCCTTAAACTATCTGGCTCAGGTTAGTTTTGAACTCATAATCATCCTCAGCCCCCTGAGTGCTGGGGTCCCATGTGAGTGACACCATGAACGGGCAGTAGTTCCTTTTTTATATGATTAAGTAATATCTCATCATGTGGCAGTACCTGACATTTGTTTGCTTTTCAAAAGTTGATTTTGAGTTTCTGTGAATAGAGTTGCTGTGAATGCTCTTATACAGTGTGTGTGTGTGTGTGTGTGTGTGTGTGTGTGTGTGAACACATCATTAGTGCTGAGTCAGTACCAGCTGTGGGAACTTTAGTGCTTGCTGAGTCAGTGCCCAGCAGTGGAATTGCTGAGTAATAACTGCAACTTTGTGAAGAATTACCAAACTGCTTTCCAGAATGGCGGCATCATTTCACACTCCTGCCAGCACATCCGAGGTTTGAGTTTTCCTAGGTCCTTGTGAAAACCTATTCTCTGGCTCCTTTATTAGAACCACGCTTGCGAAAGCCAAGTCAGCTCTCTCTGTGGGTTTGGTTTGCATTTCCCGGTGACTAATCCTGATGACCTTCCTGGTCAGTAGCTCATCGTCCGTGCAGAAATGTCTGTTCAGATCCTTCACCCAGTTTGTAAGTTTGTGATTTTTCTTTTTACAATGGAGTCACAGGTGTCCTTTGCACATCCTAGATACATACAGCTCTGTAAATTTTCTGAAGTCAGTTGGTCACCATGCAGAGGTTTAGTTTTGTTCTCTCAGTTCTCATTTACCTCTGTGTCAGCCCCTGTGCCTTTATCACACTGTTGTCATTTATATAGTTTTGTAATCAAGTGAAGAATTGGAGGTTGAGTTTTCCAACTTTACTTTTCTTTTTCAAGATTGTTTTGTTTATTCCAGAACGTTTATATTTCCCAATCAATTGATATTCTTTCTTTGCTTGGTTTAGTTCACTGATCATCGTTTCTATGTGATTTGTTGAGAAAACTGACTCCACAAAGTTGTCCTCTGACTTTTACATGTGTGCTGTGGCATGTGTGTCCCACACACCAGCAGTAAATAAATAAATAAATAAACAAACAAACAAACATAAGAGATTGCTATTTCTGGCCTTTTCTTATGTTTCAGGCTCCTATTCATTGGCTCCATATTTTTTTGGTTTGTGTTATTAATACAGAGTCTTTCTATCTAGCCCTGGAACTCACTATGTAGATCACCCTGACTTCAAACTCAATCTTTCATCGTGTGTGTGTGTGTGTGTGTGTGTGTGTGTGTGTGTGTAGGAAATGAATGAAATATTAGGTTTCCAATGACTTTTTCAAACACTTACTGTTAGTTATGTCTCCTCCAAGCCCTCCTCTTCCCCATGGCTTTTTTTTTATACCCTTCAGTTTTGTTTGTCTGCCCCACAGAAACCTGATTCAGCATCAGGAAGCTAGAGCAGAAAGAAGTAAGGAGTTTCTTATAAGAATTCATTTATACCGATAAATGGAAAATGGTTAACTAAATAGTTAAAAGAAAAAGTACAATGGTTAGGCTAGCCTTTGGCATGTTGATCTGCCTCGAGCTCCCATGTGCCTGTGGAAAAAGAAAAGTGTCAGGGTGTTTTGAGAAGCACGGAACCTTGTTATGTACCTAATATAGAGCAAGTCAGTCTGTCATGAGGAGTCAGCCCCTGCTTGAGTGTAAAGGGAATCCTTCCCGCCAGCCTGGTTCCAGAGCTGCATCAGTCCCAAATAAACACACAGGAGGCTATATTAATTATGAAGCTGTTGGCCTTGCTTGTTTCTTACTGGCTAGCTCTGACTTAAGTATTTATCCCATAATTGTTAATCTAAGTATTTCTCTTACCGGAGCAAAGTTCCGGACATCTTATTTCTCTGGCGGGCTACATCGTGACTCCCTGTGTTTCTCCTACCCAGAGTCCTCCTGGACTCCTAGTCCCACCTATCTTGCTTCCCTATGGCCAACAGTGCTTTATTGACATATACACAGAACTTCCCCATCACTTGGGTCTGCACAGGAAACAGAAGAACAAAAGGGAACATGCATCCCATGATTGATATGTGACTGTACAGCACTGTGACCCCAAGATCTTATTAAATATGAACTCTTGCAATGCCTCCAATCACATTGTCTTCCTTTTCTGACGAAAACTGGAGAGTGGTTGGCCAGAAGATGTAGGCAAAAAATGAGCTTATTTTTATTGAGTTCTCGGGAAATCTGTTGCTTTTTGGGAAGAAAGATAGTTGTTGTTTGGGGCTTTGAACTAATATTTAAAGAAGATTATATAAGGAAAGCTCCAGTCTGGTTCCTGCTATGCACAAAGCTGATAAATATCCATGTGGCACTAGAGTTTAGTAGAAGAGAACCAGATTTCCCAAAGACTACTCTGAGAGAAATAGCATTTGGATCGATTGATACTCTGGGAGACTTTTTGTCAGAGTCCAGAAGTGTAGCCGAGTAGAGGTGAAGACTAGGGTTCTAATTTGTACCACATTATGCACAGTCTTAAGTGAGAATTTGAGTGTGTGACTTCAGGAGATTGAGAGGTCAGATGAGGATGTCCGAGTGCCTTATGTCCATCTAGACAGTTACATCAGAGACAGGGTTTACCACATGTGCTAGCCCATCATGTGCTTCCTTAAGTTTCTCTCCAGGGGTTTTCAGCTACTGTACACCTTTAAAATATCTGAGGTGGAAGACAAGGGAAGAAGTTAGTAATCTTTGCTTACTTGAGGAACAGAAGTTAGTGTGAGTGAAACAGGAGTTCCTACCTTTTCAATTTGTGCCAGAAGAGCACAAAGTAAATCAAAATCACTCCCCCACCTCTCTTCTATGCTTTTTAAGTAGCAGGCTATGGTTAAAAGACTGAAATTTATTAAAGCTAGCAAAAATAGAGTCTAATTTTAGTTCATTGTCTTTCAATATTTTGTAACTTCTAAAAATGCATATTTATAGTGCTAATCATGATTTGAAGTCAACTAGGAGGAACAAAACACTGAGGACTTTTACCTTGAAATCTTAACACCAGAGCCTTTTTTCTCTCCATGCAGGTTGGGTGCTGAAAACAAAGACATATTTTAGTAGAAATTCACCTGTTTTATTACTTGGGAAATGTTATCATTTTAAATATGAAGGTAAGTGATGAACATGTAAAGCATTAAAAAATCTTTGAAGAATTTCATTGCTAAACTTTTTATTATTTTATTTCCAGATTAAACTGTTTTGACATGTTAACCACCTACACTTTGTATGACATAATGTGTGACTCTAGGATTTGGTTCTTGTACATCACTTGAGGATAAGGATCATGTCATCTGTCACTGTAGCCCTCATGTTTTGGACTTCGATTCTGCATAAGTACTAACTAACTATCACTTGAGTTGATATGCTTGTATTCTTTGGTAACTTTAGCATATGATAATGAAGGAAATGGTTACCTCAGTGACATCCCCGAGGGTCTGCCCAATAGTCACATTCTAACCTCTTTACAATTTTGAAAGTCATGTGAGTCAAACAGACTTCCTAAGTGCAGACTCTTTCCAGAACTTTCCTCCATACCTTCCTTTCCCTAGCCTTCATTTCCTCCTCTCATTGGTGGGCTTCATCCTCCCTACTGCACATATGTCCCATTCCCTTCCCCCTCTCCCTCTAGACTTCTTCCCCCACATAATTTCTCTTCTTAAATTGTATGCATATCCAGTGGAATGACCCTCTAGTCATTGATAGTGTATTGTCAGTCTCCATCTATTTGTATAGGGTTTGCAGTTCTTGGTATTTCTTAGTATTGTGTAACCAGCCTGACTACACCTCTGGTATTATTAGCAAGTTTATTTTATTTATTTCCTTCCTTCCCCCACCTTTTATTGTGTGGTGTTTGGAACATTCCTCATTCTTCTTACAGCATTGGGACAAAGTTCATTTAGTACTGACAGTTTCTCCACAGTATTTAGTGTTGACTAGGTCTGGAGAAGGTGAGAAATCACTTACTTCTTGAGAGGAGATTGGAACTCTGCATTTGTAGGACGAGGCATGAGAGTCAGGAACTATTGCATCACATTTAAAACAAATCCGAATGTCCACAGTGGCATATTTGGAATACTGTCGTGCCATGTTTAATTTCCAGGCACTTTTATTTGTAACCAACTTCAAGTTCTATATAATTTTGAGAGAAAGCCCTGTCAGCAGAGGTTTGGCATCCGTTTCTTTATTATCATCTGCTGAATATATATGAAGTTAGAGTGATGGTGAGTTTTCTAAATGAGCTGAAGGGAAGGGATGGGGGAAGAAAGAATGGAGAGAAAGTGCATTGTAAAGCTCTCAACCTTTAACATCCTACAGCAGGGCTTTGGATGTTGACCTTCTTGGAACTGGGAGTTGTAGCTAAGTATGTTTACTTACTTGCACACACCCAAGCCAGCCAACACTAATACTTAGCAAAATCTACTAATGCTAAACAGTGTCTCCAGCTGCAGGTGAAAGCAGAGGGGGTTTCTTTGGGAATAATTGAGGAATAGCAGTTCATCTTAAGAATAGTGTTTTGGACATGTTTGGGCAATGAATGACTTTTTTCACAGTAATTGTGTTAGAGATAGTAAGTGTGTAAAGGCCTTTAAATTGGTATGTGTGGATGGCAACAAATTCTGGAAAATTATATGTGAGCATGAAAGGACATTTATGTTTTTAAGAATTTTGTATTCTTACTCCAAAGCTTATTAGTTTTGGCTTTATAATTTGAGTATAAATATTCATGACAATACAGTGTGCACCTTTTGAAAGTATTAGCACATGTGATTATACACATTTTTACATAGTGATAAACCATGACATGTTATTTGCAAGTGACATTTCAAAGAGCTCTAATATGTGTGTCCTGAACCAACAGAGGTAAAAAGACAAGGTGTTTTACATTAACCTCTCATCTAAGAAGTGATTTTACGTGGGAGAAAGATGTTCACTTAACAGCAGAGTTACTGTTAACCTTGTATTGCTCTCCCCCAGTGTGCAAACCACCTGAGGGTTCATTCTTGTGTGATTAGACAGTGTGAAGCTTAGATTTCTTTTAAATGAACAAAAAAGATCAGAAAGATTGCGATTCAATTTATAACAAAACAGTAATGACATTACCATTATACATACTGCTTCGCCTATATTTATACTATATAACTTAACATTTTAAAAAATTTTGTAGATGAAAACAAGATGTTGCCTGCGAGATCAGGATGTACCATTGAAGATCATGTGATTGCAGGAAATGTGGAAGAATTCCGTAAGGATTTCATTTCTAGAATTTGGTTGACCTACAGGGAAGAATTTCCTCAAATAGAAGCTTCAGCCTTGACAACAGACTGTGGCTGGGGCTGTACACTGAGAACTGGCCAGATGCTCTTGGCTCAAGGGCTCATACTACATTTTCTTGGCAGAGGTAAATCAAGTCCGTTTCTAGATGCTGTTGTATTTACTTTGAGCATTGATTGGCTTGTGTAGAGCATACACCTTGCTGAGGTTAACCCTAAGAACCGGTCTACCTATTGCATTTGTATTGAGCTGAGCTGAATATCTTACACACATGTTCCTGACTCTCCTTTCAAAACTGAAATTCAACATGGCCATGTTATTGCCACAGTGAATTTAGTTCACATTTTGTTGTTTTAGTTGAAGTCTCTGGAGTGTCTCCAGCTCATTAAGTACTGAGTAGAAGAATTTTTATTCTGGTTTATTGCCTCTGTACACATCAGTAGCATTTTGAAAATTTTATCTTTATTAATAATTCATAATTCTCCATGTCATTTTAATTTAATAATAATTGTTATATTTTGAGACAGTGTCACTATGTAACCCTGGTTGGTCTTGAACTCACTATGTAGACTAGCTTTGCCTTAATTCACAGAGATACACCTTTGTCTCTCAGTTGCTGGGCATGTGCCATTACACCTGGCTATAATTCTTTATATTAAAATTAGGCATATTCTTAATAAGAACATTATATTTAGAGTTTAAAGAAAGATGTATTAAAATGAATAAATGAGTGTGTGTGTGTGTGTGTGTGTGTGTGTGTGTGTATGTGTGTATGTGTGTATGTGTGTTTGTGTGGAGGCTAGAAGAAGATGTCAGATCCCCTGGAGTGGGAGTTATCAACACTTAAGAGCTGTCCGAGATGGGTGTTAGGGACTGAACCTGATTCCCCTGCAGGAACAGTAAGCATGCGTAAGTGCTGATCCATCTCTCCAGCCCCATTACTTAGACTTTTAAGCCCTCAGAAATCTCATTCATGGTCTTGACATTGACAACTGTGACATATTGGCAACTTACTTATATTTACCTTCTAGAGTCATTTTCCTATCAGTCGGAATTTTTCTTTTTTTAATAATGTGTACATTTGTAAGAGGGTTTTGTTTTACCATTTTAGGCTATTATCTCTAGACACTACTAATGTCAGATTTTGTTAAAGTGTTAGACAGTATCCCTGTAATAGTAAGTTTTCTGTAGAGATGGTTGAAGTTATTTAGCAAAAATGTTTTGAGTAGTGTGACTAATACAAAGAAAAAGTTACTATTATTTTTTAAGTTTTACATGTTGGAGATTAAACTCAGGGCTTTGGTTATATGCTGGAAATGTGCTGTACCCATGAACACAATTAAGTAAGACTCAGTTTAGACCAGTTTTCTGGGGGTGATTTGTTTGTGGTCCTGTGTACTCATGAACAGGGATGGGAATGTTTATTCCTGAATAGATCTCTGAGTCTGTGACTTAATCTAAACTCAAAATGATTTGTTTCATTAACTTACAAATAACATTTGAAGATTGCTGCATTATTAAAAAAGACAGTAAAATAATGGTTATATTTGCTGTGTTTAGATCTTGTAGCTTTCCTGGATTTATTCATTAGCTTTTAATTTACTAGAAAACTATTACTCTCTATTACTCCCTAACAAACAATTATGGTATTCTGAAGGAAGGAACCGGAAAAAATGTCTTGAAGAAAAGTAAAAATTTCAATCATTTTTTTTCTTCTTCCTCTTCCTCCTACTTCTCCTCCTCTTCTCCTTTAAAACATGTAATCAAAAGTAATCTTCTTTCTAAAGAAAACTGTAAACATTAATAAATATTTTCTTTTTCCTTGTGCTTTTGGGAAGCCCAGACCAGAAGTCTGTCAGTGGAGTCCAGGTGTCTTTATTTCAACTGAGGATTGGCAATAAAAACCCAAGAAAACATTGAAAGATTTTTTGTGACTTTTCCTTAATTACATGTAGTATATTCCCAGCTTAGAAAATTTGGAAGTTACAGGGTAGTTCTGAAACATTCATATTTAAATATGTCATTGACGTTACCATTTTTTTTTTTGCACATGTATTTTTCCTTTTATGTTTTAAGCACACCTTGCTGTTTGGTTCAGTGAGGTCCAGAATGCCTTCCTGCCTGACCCCTGCCTGGGCCTCCTGAGCACTGCTGCCACCCCTCCCTCTTCTTTGTCTCTTCTTCCTCCTTTTCCCTTCTGTCTTTTTATTTTTCTTTAGCACTAAGGATGAATTCCAGGGCTTTGAACATGTTAGACAAACATGAAGCTATATTCCCGTCCCACTCTTCTTGTTTTTTTTGTTTGTTTGTTTGAGGCAGGTTCTCCCTGTGTAGGGTAGGATGGACTCAAATGCCCAGTTTCCCTGCCTCAGCCTACAAGTCCTGGGGTTACTATGATTAACTTACTATTTGTTTTTCTTTTTTCCTTCCTTTCTTCCTTTTTTGAAACAGAGTCTTACTGTGTATATCAAGCTGGCCTTGAACTCACAGTGGTCATTCGTTCTTAGCCTCCCAAGTGCTGGGATTAAAGTTGTGTGCCTTTGCCGGGCATTGGTGGCGCACACCTTTAATCCCGGCACTCAGGAGGCAGAGGCAGGCGGATCTCTGTGAGTTCGAGACCAGCCTGGACTACCAAGCCAGTTCCAGGACAGCCTCCAAAGCCGCAGAGAAACCCTGTCTCGAAACAAAACAAAACAAAACAAAAAACAAAAAAAAGTGTGTGCCTAGCATATATTTTTTTTCCTCTTTCAAAGCAAGCGGCTTTTACCAAGTGGTCAGCCCTGAACTCATATACATACAAGTAGCCCTATTTGTAATAAGCAGGTTATAATTACATACTTGCACATTTAGGAATATGTGCTGTGTGTGTTGTTATGTATGTGTGTGTATATATGTATATTTTTGATGCTATAGCTTGGACCTGGCCTGATGCACTGCATATTGAGAATTCGGACTCTGACTCATGGACCTCCAACACCGTCAAAAAGCTTACTGCATCATTTGAAGCATCACTTTCAGGGGAAAGAGAACTCAGAACTCCAGAGGTTTCTCTGAAGGGAACAATCGGGAAGTATTCCGATGACCATGCAGTGCAGAATGAGATTTACCACAGGAAAATCATCTCTTGGTTTGGAGATTACCCCATGGCTGTCTTTGGCTTACATCGTCTGATAGAGTTTGGGAAGAAGTCTGGGAAAAAGGCTGGAGATTGGTATGGACCAGCTGTGGTCGCTCACATTTTAAGGTACCGTTGTTTCCAATGTTCTTAGAAATGCCAGCTTTGACAGTGAGTGCATATAGCCGAAGCTCTTAAAGACCAGCTATGTGAGAACTTTCTGCTGTCCTTTGATGATGGGGAGTCAAGACTTGGGGGCTACAGTTGCATTTACTGTGCGTCAGAGTTTTCTTCTCTTGCTTATAGGTTCCCATATACAGGGTCTCATTCTAGCTAGGTTCTCATTACATTATATTGTTGTGTGTTCTAAAGCTACCATCTCTTTCACCATGGGGGCAGACTGTATTATTATTACTAATTTGTAATGTAACCAATTTACTGATGTCTAATGAGATGTTGAGAGCTAAAATTCTTGTGTCAGCGTTTCCATGAACATTTCAAATTCATGAGTGATAAATAGCGAAGCAAACATTTATAAAACCATACCACAAAAAGCATAGCTTCTAACCCCCAAGATGTCCCCAGGCTCTGCATGTTTTTTCTTAGTGGCAAATGGTAAATATTTGGGGCTTTACAGACCTTACCTTTTCTGTTTTCCATTCTTCTTTCTCTTTCAATATTTAAAATGGTCAAAAATCATTCTTAGCTTACAGTATAAAAAAACAGGCTACAGGTTGTATTTGGCCATAGTTATCTGGTGTTTTCTTCTATACTAGTATACAGGAGCATTCATGGTGCAACATTTAAAATTAAACAGAAATAAGGATATAGGCAAATAAAATATTTTACTTGCCACATCTGTGCAGTTCTGTTTTGCAGATGTTGGGGTTTTGTCACAACACATACCATTGAAAACACTCTTGCTCACTAGTGCTTCCCAGTTTGCAGTTTTGCTTTCAGAATTCCAATACTTTCAATTAGGAAATTCATTTGCTCAGATCAAATAGCTGTTTCTTCTTCCTTCCCTGCCCTGTGGTGCTAGGTGTCAAACCCAGGACCTTGGGACAGGATACTATGCAGAGGCTCTACCACTGAGCCACATTCCAGCCCCTCTCAGGGTGCTATGCAAATGCTCTACCACTGAGCTACAGTCCAGCCCCTCATACTGACTTCTGAATGGTGTGAATAAGCCAAACTGCTATTTAATAAAAAAAAAAGAAAGAAAAGGGAAAGAACTTGGGCAGGTATAGTTGGGGGCAAATACTATAGTACATTCTTTGTACTAGATGTCTTACTGTGAAGCAAACCTTGACTACCTGTGACTCACTGCTTAGAAAACATTCTGTGTAACCAGGGAGCTGATGAAGAAGGAAGTTCATTTAGGGCTGGGAGATAAGTTTTATAGCCGCTGAATCTGAAGGTATGTTTTGTAACTTCATTTAGAGTCTTCGGGTGGGTAGTTCAGTGTAATGTTCGGCTTTGGAAAATGCAGCCGATATCTGAACCCACTGAGATGACAGCCTCGACAGCAGACATACAGGTTATATAGGAATGGCAGGGAAGCAATGGATTGTTTTCCTTTTTAAACTAAATCTTCAGGTGCCACTCGTCAAGATTTTAAGGATGTTTATTATCTTCCTAGAAAAGCAGTAGAAGAAGCAAGACATCCTGATTTACAAGGAATAACTATTTATGTTGCCCAGGACTGTACAGGTACAGAATGTGTGGAACTCTAACTATGTGTTGTGTTAGCTCAGATTCTTCATGTATGAATAGCTCATCTCTTCCTGGTTTATATTTCAAATGGTTATGAAGATGGCGGTCACGGATAATTCATTTTTGTTCCTACATAACACCTTTCATGTAACAGGAATTTAGTATTTTTTCTGAATAAATACCATTAATTATTAATTAAAATATATTTGCCAAGGAAATTTTGAGCATTTGAAATGATTGTTTTGCTATTTTTTTTTCCCACCAAGACAGGCTTTTACTGTGTATCCTATGCTGGTCTTGAATTTATAATGCTGCTTCAGCCTACCCCGACAATGCTGGTCTTGAATTTATAATGCTACTTCAGCCTACCCCGTCACCCCTGCAGCCAGTGCTGAGGGTGGGTGCATCAACACACTTGACCTAACACTTCTTTTTAGTTAGTCAGGTTAAGCTAGTTAGGATGACTCATGCTGATAATGCTGGCCCAGAGAGGCCAGGACAAGGAGGGTCAGACATCTGAGGAGAGAAAATTCTGGGTTTCCCTTACAAGTATGTTTCCCATGAGTATGCTGATAAGTCTTCTCCCATGGTGGTTTGGGGTCTTCTGTTGATGGCTAGTGTCTGTAGTCACCGTGAAACTCTGTTGGAAATAGAAATAGAGGCTTAAGCTTCCTGAAATAAAATAAGCCACCCCATGCTGTAAGCTAAGTTTTTACAGAAGAGCTATTAAGATGATAGAAATGAATACTTTAGAAAAGTAAGAAACATGAATGTCAGGTTTAACATAAAGACATCTGCAAGCCTGGCAACCAACAAGGGCTCATAGTGGAAAGAGTGTTCTGCGTTTGGTATTCTATACTTCTTGAGACATTTATTTATTGTGTATGAGCATGTGGGTGGAATTGGTCCTCACTTCCCATCATGTGGGTTATGGGGGTGGAACTCAGGTTGTCAGGGCAAGTGCCTTCCTGCTTAGTCACCCCACTGTTCTGGGTCTGGCATCCGATCAAGTCAAGCACTTTCTGACTTATCTTATGCTCCAGCTTTTACCGTCAGTTTCCCTGGTGGAGCATATGCTCAGGGAGATCAAGACTTGTGTTTCATCACTGTTGAATTTCTAGGGGAATGTGTATGGCAATCTGAACTTGTTGATGCTTTGATAGTGGTGCCAGGGACCGCATGACCAGCACGTGGAGGAGTGGGATCAGAGTAAGAATGTTGATACAGCTGCTCTTATGACATTTAATACATACATATTCATTATGTTTCCACCAGTTTACAATTCTGATGTAATTGATAAACAGACTAATTCTGTGACCTCTGGGGATGCCAGGGACAAGGCTGTCATTATCTTAGTTCCTGTTAGACTGGGTGGAGAAAGAACCAACACTGATTACCTGGAGTTTGTGAAGGTAAGAAATGTTCAGTTTTTCTTTTTTCTTTTGTTTCCAAGGCAGTAGTACCTAACGTAAAAAATACAGAGGTGTTGTAGTCTCTTTCCCATGAGTAAGTATAGTTATACATTGTGAAATTTGGCATTGGAGATTTGAAATTTCAGTTTTGAGAGACCACATGAGCCTGAAGAGCACCCTTCTGTGACAGAGTGAACATCCTCTGAGTCTTTGCATGGTGTGCGCGAGTGAAATTTGCAATATGGCTACTACTCTACTATCCTTCTCTTAGGAAAAGATACTTGTCTTAGTTATCCCTAAAACTAACATTAAACCATGCCAAATTAACTATTAAAATAAACTTTAAAGATTACTACTGTATGCCAGTGAGAAATTGACAGTATAGACCAGTAAATTAAGTATTAAAACAAACCTTTAAAATTACTACTGTAAGCCAGTGAGAGATTGGCAATATAGAACAATAAGATGGTATGGAGGCGGGGGGAGGACCCACTTTCCCTTCCTTTTTTTTTTTTTTTTTTCTGAGACAGGGTTTCTCTGTAGCTTTGGAGGCTATCTTGGAACTCACTTTGTAGACCAGGCTGGCCTTGAACTCACAGAGATCCGTCTGCTTCTGCTTCTGGAGTGCTGGGATTAAAGGCGGCCGTCTGGCCAACTTCCCTTTCTTATTAATTAATTAAAAGTTATATTTCTTGAACCGAAAGAAACTGTTTGGTCCTGTGTGTTCTATTGTTTTAGGAACTACAGCATTTAGTTTTGAAGCAATACCTTTTCCAGTATTTGGTATTCGGTTAAGTATGTAGCTATAATAATACAATGTTACTTTCAGTTTTAGTAAGGTGACTGTGATGAAATACTTGGCAGAATGAACTTTTAAGAAGTTGAGGTTTGTTTTGACTCACAGTGCAGAGGTGTTCAGTGTTTAGCCTGCAGGAGCCATGTAGCCCAGGATAGCTATGAATGCTCACCTACATAAAACTGTAAGCTTACTGAAGACATTATGAGGTGTGTGTGTGTGTGTGTGTGTGTGTGTGTGTGTGTGTGCGCGCACGCACGCTCATACCTGCCTGCCTTTTCTTTTTGCTTTGGTAAATGTATTACATGGTTCTGTAGTGTGAACTTTGGCGATGACAATGTTGTGTTGCAGTGTGATGCAGAACAGATATGTATATGCTCTTCTACTTACATGTATGCATGTCTTCCAGTGTGCTACAGACAGTCCAATTATAACACCAGAGCTTATATGTGCTCATGGTGACTTGAAGAGTGAAACACAGCAGTCATCAGTAATACTTTAAGTAACCATTGCAGATAATAGGCACTTAATGCTATTTAGAAGACAGAATAGTATTTTTCCTAGATTATTAAGGTTGCTTCCATACCTCAGCTCTGTGTCCTGCATTGCCCACTGCATTTTACATTTGGCTTCCCTTTGCACTACGTCAGCCGCTGGGGTACAGAAGGACCCACCCTTGCTTTCTACTTTCCTATCAGTTAATTTTCATGGTGAAAAGTAAATTTAGTCCCCTACGTGTTATTACATTTGAATGCTAGCATGGCGTATGCAGTGTCTCAAAGGAAAACAGAGCTGGGGCCAGGGAGTGACGTAGCTAATAAAATCCCATAAGGGCATGAATTTGAACCCCACTTGCCCGCAGGAGGTGGACATGGCAGCATGTGCCTGAAATGCCAGTGCTGGGATGTGGAGGCAGGAGGATAGTCTCTAGGACTTGCTGTCAGCCTGTCCAGCCAGTGAGTGCAAGAGCTAGTGAGAGACCCTGCTTCAAGAAATAAGGTGGAGAGCATCTGTCGGCTTCCACATGCTTGTGCGTACACTTGCACCCACACCTGTGCACCTCTGGAGCGAGGGAGGAGACGAGAAGCCCCAAAGACGAAAGTGTGGCTGGAGGAAGATGGTTCAATGCGAAATGATCAGATGACTAGTTTTCCATGAGGTCAATAGTAAGGCAGTTCGCCCAGCTTGTAGGGAATTGGAAGTTTTCAAAGACTGTGATTTGAAAAGTCATTATATGTAATACATGCTGTCAAATTCAATGTGTATCGGGATTGTGTCATAAGAACAAAATAGTAAAGCTGAACAAAAGACTGTTCTCAACAAAATTGTTTCCGTAAGTTAGGGTTTGGACAGATCCTATTGTAAAAGCTAGTTACGTGGCAGCATATTTAAGAGCAAAAAAACCAAAACCATTTACTGGTGGTGAGTTTATTAAGTGAGGCATGTAGCGTGTGGCAGGCATAACATTACATGCTTTGAGAAGACGTTTATTTCTGAAGTCAGTTTGTCTCACCTGACTATAACCATGTAAAGTAGAGAAAATAGAAAATCCACTGAAAGAAGGCTGGAGGGTAGAGCCCCTAATTTTAAGTTTCCTATGTTGGCACTAGGTAACAGCTAGGCTACAGGTACAGTTCTGCTCGCTGCTTTTAGTAATGTAAATCACGAATTAAAGTCACTGAAGACATGGCTTCTTTAATGCCGCTAAAAGGCACAACTATATCAAGAGGTTTCTATACAGCAGTAAAAAACAGAGCCGTTTCTTTGTCACTGTATCTACGGCTGTTGCCATTGGTGCCCATAATGATAGGTAGAAGAGAGGACCTTGTACAATTCACAGAAGATGAGGTCATCACGGCCCAGAATTTACGTTGAATGGATGGAGTATTGCATAATCCATCAATAAAATATGTGTACACAGCATTAAGACTGAATAACGTTATGAAAATCTTCATTACGACTGAATTTCATAAGGACCTAGGGGTATAATCCTCACCAATTTTAGGAATTCCTTTAAAATGTTGACACTAACTGTGGCTACATCAGTAACTTTTTTTAAATAAGAGACTAAGACCAGGCCAGATGCTGAAGAGATTTTATGATTTGCAACATGTTATCAAGCCCTTTCTGATACCAAAAACAAAATTTGTACCAGAACTTGACCATGAAAACTGGCTTATGGTGTAGTATTTTGGTGGATTTAGCCACTGTTTTATAAGTGGTTGAGCATGTTTCTTCAAGGTTAAAATCAATTTATCAACACAATGTTTCAAATCATCATTTTAAATGACACTAAAATTGTGTTAGTTTGCTGGGCAGTGGTGGCGCACACCTTTAATACCAGCACTCAGGAGGCACAGGCAGGTGGATATCTGTGAGTATGAGGCCAGCCTGGTCTACAAAGTGAGTTCCAGGAAAGCCAGAGCCACAGAAAAACTCTGTCTCAAAACACCAAAACCAACAAAAACAGATTGCAATAAACACATTAGTTTCTCAAATAGAGTGTCAAAGACCCTGCTAGTTTTATGTTGCCACATTTTCTTTATATATAAAAATATTAAAAAAACATGAAGTTTAATTACTTAGGTGTGTTCACTTTCTTGACCCATGACTGCACACTTAACAGCTGCTGGGTGATTTTTAGAGACCACTGAGGGGAGTGCCACATAATCAGGGCAGTAGGACTTGTGCACATGTGCTCTCAGATAGTGTGAAAGTGAGACGCAGACCCTCTTTTGCTCATCAGCTGTTGTTAGTGTCTGTGTATGGACCGCATGGCCCGTGACTGTTCTTCATCTCGTGTGGCCCTGAGAAGCCAACAGGTTGGCACCTCTGGTGTGGAGGTTAATGCAAACAATGAGATCGGCTACTACCCTTCGTGGTAGGAGCACGAGGAAGCTCACTCATATCTTAGAGGATCAGGAAAGAGACTGTTCAAAATGGAAATGAGACCAGGCTGTACCTCTCAGAGGCCTGTTACTAGGCACCCCACTTCTCGCAGCTACTTCCTCCTTCCCCAAAGCTCCTATTGCTTCCCAGAACTGTACTGCTGGCTGAGAACCAAGTGTTTAAACACTTGAGCCTGTGGGGGACATTTCACGTTCAAATGATGTCTGTTCCTTGAGCCAAAGCCTTTTCTTGGCAGCAGAGGTTGCCATGGCCATCCAGGTGTGTTTCATCTGGTAGAGGGCTCTGCCTGCTGTTTGGCAGTGTTGGTGGCAGACAGCACTGCCTGATGTCCTTGAGTGATGCCCTGGAGTCTGTACTAGTGAAACAAGCAGTAGTTGAGCCGTTTCTGTGATATATTCTGTACCCAGCACACAGGAGTTACATGACCAGTATTTGTTAACTCATTTCTGTCGTCCTTTCCAATAGAATCCATCTCCTTTGCCCTCACGATAGCCAGGTACTTCATCTTTATAAACTCAAAAAGGCCCAGGGAAATCAAGTGATATGTTCAAGTTCAAATATTGAGCTAGAGATAAGACTATCACTTTGTTGTTTTAAAATCCCCCAATAAAGAATGTTTCCAAAGATAACATTTCCTTGAATGTCTGCTATTGGGTTTACATTGTAGTCCACTAAAATAAGAGCACTTTTGAGGGTTTAAACATTACCAGATAAAAATGCCTGCAGTGGTTGTGTGAGCTTATATGGCAGGTGTTATACTTGGCCAGAGGGAGAGCTTGTAAAGAGCTCCCTACCTAAAAGTGAAGGAGCAGTGTGTCTGGCAGCCCTAAGAGAAAGGCCAGTACAGGAACTTCCTCTTTCCTCCCCCCTTCTTCACTTTTTATACATGTGGTCAGCAGTTTTACTCCCCCCAAAACCTAAGTACAGTATAGTCTACAATGTAGCACTTAGCTATGTGTTTTACACATATAATTCAAGGTCATTCCACAGTACCTTAGAAATAGTACATCCCTGAGTCTCACTCCATTCCACGAGAAACACATTTGCTGTGTGCTCTATCATCCCTTACAACAAGAACCGTATTTAATTAGTTTTATTTCCGTAAGGAGTCGAAATGAGGAGAACTCATTTCTTCCACAAGACACATTAGGACTTTGCTTTCTGACGGATTAGCTTCAGTTTTCTTGATTGCTTTGTGGAGACAACTCAGGAAATGCTCACACTAGCTAAACATGGAGAAACCCAATGAGGAGCTGAGGGGTGTTTAAAGTTCCTAAAGATACATTCCCTTACACACCGTGGCGTTCCAGCTCCCAGTCACTAGGTGTGGAGTGTGTGTGTGGGGGTCTGTGGCGGAGGAACTACAGATGCCAGCACTGAGTCTCTCCTATATGTGGCCGTGTTACTTTTCTGAGAGGAGTGGGTAATGATTCTTGGTGTCTACAGATGGCTTTCTTTCCTCAGCTATGGGGGACTTCAAACTTTCACTTCCTCATTTATCTCCAGGGCATAAACACTTCCTTCAGCTGATCAGGTGGCCTTGTGAAACTAAGTTTTTATTTAAAGAGAAAGGAATAGAAACCTTACTGGTTAAGAAGCCCATATTACTGTTAAATGCTTGTTTTTTCATAGGGTAAGCATTATTCGTATTTGTTAGTTGGTTCAAGGCAGCTAAAGTTAGTGAAGATCTTATTGTTTGTCTTGTTTATCAGTTGCTGCCTTTCTTAATAAACCACCTCTGATATTGTTTGCAAGATTGCTTTTTTAAGACTTAATTATTTCTATTTTTATCGGATAAATGTTTTCCTGTGTATATGTGTATGCAATGTATGTGTATGGTGCCCAAGGAGCATGGCAGATCCCCTGGAATTGGAGTTACAGACAGTTGTGAGCTACCACATGGGTGCTGGGAACTGAACCTGGGTCCTCTGCAAGAGCAGCAAATGCTCTTAACCACTGAGCCATCTCTCCAGCCCCACACACTTGTTCTCCCGAGGCTGGTTTAGTCTGCTTTGTGCTCCTGCAATAAAATACTCAAAGCGATTGGGTGATTTATAAAGAACAGAGATCCATTCTCTTGTTCTCTGGATCATGCTCATTCAGGATGGAGGGGCTGGCTGCTGCTGATGGGTCTCCTGCAGAAGAGCAAGAGAGAGGGGTACCTATTCCCCTAGGCCCATTTTAGAGCACTGCTAATCCACTCAGAGGGGCGGAGCCATCAGGATCCATATGTCCCCCAAAGGTCTCACCTCTTACCATTGTTTTGCTGTGGATTAAGTTTCTAGCATGTGAATTTTAGAAGAAATAAAACATTTGAATTGTAACAAAGGGACTATTTATAACAGGAAGAACCTAGAACAATTCAAGTATTCATGAGGGTTTATGAACATAGAACACAACTATTAGTTATCAAAGTGATATATGTATTTACTGATATGAAAAAATGTTCATGGCAAAATGAATGCCAAAAAGACAAAGTAGCATGGGTCTGGCAAGATGGCTCAGTGGTTAAGAACACTTGCTGCTCTTGCAAAGGACCCAGGTTCAGTTCCCAGCACCCACATTAGGTAGCTCACAACTGTCTGTAACTCCAGCCCCATGGGATCCATTAGCCCCCATCACACCACATCAACGATGGGAGCAGCTCTGTCTTGTTCTTTGCAGCGTTGACCCGTGTCTGCTCACTGACCGGGGTCCACAGTTTATCCAGGTTGACAGTCCGGCAGGAGCTCCAGCTCCTCTTTGAGTGGGAATGCCTCATCCCAGCTCTGCCAGAGTCCCCTGGATGGACTGTGTGGACCCTGAACCTGTGGGGATGCATAGTCTCCAGCATTGCCCTGGCCTCCTGACTGCTCTTGCTGTGCATACCAATCAGGCCCTGAGTTTCCAGGTCTTCCTCACTCTGGGTGGCTTGGTGCTAAAGCAACAGTTACACACTTTCCCCAGGGAGATGTGCAGTAATACCCACTCACCCCAGACAGGACATCAGCAGACCAAAGAAATTATTCCATCTAAGAGCAGTTTGGTGAAGGAATGAGGTTACCTGGGTTCCTTATGGGAGCATGGCGAGTTTGGGCAGCTTTGTCATTGCAGATCCTCACCCTAGCATGCAGGATGACTTACAGAATCCTTGCTACCAGAGTAGAGCTCCAATCAGCTGCTGTGCCCGTAACGTCTGGGAGACGGGTCTGGAAGGAACAGGATGGAGCAAGCGGCTGGAATCTCAGCAAGAGTCTGCTGACCTTCCCTCTGCCTTCTGCTAGGGAATGGGAATCAGGGCTCATGAGGGCAGCATCCGAGCTATTGTAGCTGGTCCGCAAGGCTGTGCCACACTCAGAGGATAGAGCCTCACACATGTAGACTGTCTATGTTTACCCTGGTGCTTGCTTGGGTAGCTGCGGGCCACTTGCTACCACTGCTTGGCCTCAAAAGATAGCTACACGTTTTTATGTTATTAGCTCAGGAAAGATCAAAATCCAAGATCCAAATTATGTTGTTGTTGTTTGAGACAAAAGTTTTGCATTGTAGCCCAGGCTATCTTTGAACTGCAACCCTACTCAGCCTCTTGACTACTAGGACTGTATGTATATACCACTGCATTCGCCTCCAAGAATGATTTCTGCTGAATGTATAACAGCTTTTGCATTGTAATAAAGTCGTGAGCTGGACAGTGTTAAGGTGGGAACTGTCTGAGTTCTTCTTTATTTTTTATTTAATCCTCTAGATTACAGGTTCTTGACCTTCCTCATGCTGTGACCCTTTAATACAGTTCCTCATGATATGGTGACCCTCAACCATACAATTCTTTCATTGCTACTCCATAACTGTAATTTTGCTACTGCTATAACTGTAATGTAAATATCTGATATGCAGGATGGTCTTAGGAGAAGGAGAAAGGGTTGTTTGATTCCCAAAGAGAACTCAATCCACAAGTTGAGAACCATGGCTCTAGATGGAAGAGAATACTCTCATTACGAGAAGAACTAGTACCTTGCTTTGGCAGGACATTTTTGCTTTGTGATGTCATTAATTTTCTTGGTATCACATTGTGGCCTGTCCATATTGTTGAGCAACATGCTGTGAATTAATACTAAATGGTTTAAGGGAAAAGAGACCGTTTGGAAGACAAGGATTCCAGGACAGAGAGCAAATGTAAAAAAGTAGTAACTGTTGGTGGGAAGTTGGGGCGCCTCTAAAATCATCAGTACAGACACAGCTGTTTCAGATCGTCACTGCTTGTCACCTGCTCTAAATCTCTTCATTTCCTCTGACAGGGTGTTTTAAGCCTTGAATACTGTGTAGGTATTATCGGCGGCAAACCTAAACAGTCCTATTACTTTGCTGGCTTTCAAGGTTAGTGACTAAGCATGGTATGTCTTTCTTGTTTCCTTTTAAAAGTGGGACGTTAATATGAGATTGCTAGGAAAGAAGGTGGTTAGCAGAGCCCAGTGAGGACCTCACATGGCTGTCAATCCTCCCTCAGCTGCTCACTTGTCATTTGGTCCACAACGTAATTGGATTCCTTAAAGTGTGTGGTTAATTTCTGTTACTGCATAAACAAAGCATAATTTATTGCTCTCCCCGAATTCCAGCAGACACCACTGCCACGTTCTGGCAGTCGCTATTTACATATTTACTTTTTGCCATTTTCTTAGTGGTGTTGGTTGACGAGATGACAAGCAATATGTTCTTGCTGTCAGAACAAAGAAGGCGATGCATTTTTCATATGCAAACTGTAGAATATAATTGTGTGTTTGTGAAAGTAATTTTATCACCAAAAATTAAATGACAGTCTCATCACTTTATAATTCTGCTTATACAAGCATATTTGATTATGCAAAGTTAATCTATGCCGCGCAGACCGAGTTTCTGTCAGCGAGTCTCAGGCTGGCAGGCCGGTACACCCAGACTTTTTTCAGCTGCTCTCCATAGAAATTGGATTGTAAGCAGTGTCATAAGAAGGTGTTTTGAATTACTTGTCTTCTGTTTTGTCCTTGTAGATGACAGTCTGATTTACATGGACCCTCATTACTGCCAGTCTTTTGTAGATGTCAGCATAAAGGACTTCCCTCTTGAGGTACTGTACATGGGGGCTCGGTTCGGTTTTCTTCCCATGTGAAGCGGGCTGGTATTTAGAGGTGTGCCGGGGGTCATACCTTCCTAGTATCACAGTCACAGGCAGGATTTTGCTAGTTCACGATGCCACAGTCAGCACCAGCCCAAGGCTGAGTGCTTGGCTGCTGAATTTTAATCTGTGATATCCTGTCCTCTTCATTCATGTCTGTCTCCAACGTGTTGGGTGCCTTGGTTGTACTGCAATAAGTAATCAAGTCTCTGAGGATATTGGTAGCCAGATGGCTAAGCAGTGCATGCACAGAGGAATGTATAGTTCCAGGTCTGTCCTGGTAGGAGAGGAGGAAAAAGGACCATTTCCCAAAGAAAAGCCAATTGATTTGGTGAGATCTCCCCTCCCGGTGAAGCCCCCCCCCCCATTTACATTCTCAGGTGCTTGTTTGGATTTCTAGCAACTGTTGAAGGTCATTTATAGATTCTGCATTCCCTAATAGGTGGTCATTTTGTTACTCAATATTTTAAGTCAGAAAAGTTTGAGTTCCTAAGTGAGATGGATAACTATTATATCATTTTACTTAGTTTTTCCTAGTTGATGCTTTCACAGATTAGAATGGTTTCATCACAAATGGCAAGGGTACTGATTGTAAACAGTAGGGTCAATGGGAAACGTGTTATACGCTGTGTTTCAGAAATGCCTTTTGAGCTAATATTAATACTTAATGGTATTCAAGGGGGTAGATATGAGAACAAACTGCAAGATTAAAGCCTAGGTTAGAAAAACATATTGTTAAACAACCTAGCCTCTTTTGTAAACTAATACCTTAGCTGTCTCTTCCTCCTTTCGTAGAATTGCGCATGAACTGTAATTCTCACCATTATTAGTCAAGAGATCTACCACTGACCTAAATCTCCAACCCTAAAATTTCACTTTCTGCTTTTCCTATCAAGTGAAGATTTTAAACTGCTTTGCATTCCTAAGCATCCTTGCTTTGATGGCTCATGTATACACTGCTGGAACTTTGTGCAGACAAAGGAAAACATGTATATTTAAAGCCTCTCAGACTTTGTTAAAATCACTTTTGTAGAAATTAGAATTTTTTCTAATTTTTATCTAACTCTATGTAAATAATTACTTGTAGTCCTGAGATTTTAAATGAGAAATCTAATTCTAACAGGATTGTGAAGTTTTAAATAGACTATTTGCACATCAAGATTAAAGACAATATTTAAATATATCCTTTGCTATTGTTATTACATGTTGATTTCTTATATTTTTAGAATTGAACTTTTAACATTTTGAAATTAAATTAGGCCAGCTTCTTTCTTTCTTTCTTTCTTTCTTTCTTTCTTTCTTTCTTTCTTTCTTTCTTTCTTTATCAACAGTCATTCATTGAGTTTTCTAGATGAAAGTCTGTAGGCCTCTCTTGAGCTCCTCCATGTTTCTGCAAATGCTTTTGTTATGTATTATATTCATTTTAATCTTGTGATGTTATCTCCATGAATATGTTAGGATAGATTGTTGACTTAGCATGTACGACTGAGTAAAATTCTACATGAGGGAAGAAAATCTTCCTGTCTTGGGTCATCTTCATTGAGGTTTTGGTTTGTTTTTTGAGTCCAGGTTTCACTATGGAGCCCCAACTAGCCTAGAACTTGCTGTGTGGATCAGGGGAGGCTTAGACTCATGAAGATCTTCTTGCCTCTGCCCCAGCTCAGGGATGGGATTAATGGTGTGCATCACCATGTCTAGCTGAGGGTAACTTTTAATGTTCAAAGCACCACGGTATGATTTTCAAGGAGACATTGGGGTTCGGAGGAGCAGTTTAGCAGTCTTAGAGAAAAAGTTGAGAAAAGACAGTGAGAGATCAGAAGAGAGTGAGAGGAACTTGGAGACTTAGCAGGGAGTACAAGTTGAGTGCAGGTTTCCATTGTCAGTGGCTTGAGTAAGACAGCATTTTAGTTGTTTGAGTGGGAGGAGTATGGTATGTGTGTGTATTCATGTATTTATACGTATGTGCATATGTGTATTGTACGAATATAATTTTTGTGCTTATATATATCTGATTACTCATATGAAATGTATATGCAATGTTTCTCTTAGTCCACTCAGCTCAGAGCTGCCTGAAGGAGTCTGAGTTGGGGGGATTGCCTCACTCAGATTGGCTCCCCAGCATGTGAGTTCGAGGCCAGCCTGGTCTACAGAGCAAGTTCCAGGACAGCCTCCAAAGCCACAGAGAAACCCTGTCTCGGAAAAAAAAAAAAAAAAAAAAAGGTTTTGGCAGATGCACAGGGGAGTGAGTGAGTCAGTCAGGGAAGGCACTGTTGATGACTCTCATGTGCAGTGCAGCTAGCAAGCTTGTTCTTTAACTATGCAGGAAGCTTCAGCTCAAGCTCCAGAATAGTGTAGGCATTCCTGAAAATGGTTGTTATGGTACTGTTTATATGTTTAGTTAATAACATATATTCATAGCATACAGAAGGACGTCCCCCATGGAAATATATTTCATTGTCACAGAAGAAAGTATCTGTAGTCATTATTCCCTATGTGTATGAAATAGAGGCTGCTAGTACCAGACACCAGAATTTTAAAATTAAATCATTCACACATAGCTTAAAGGATAATCACAAAATGAATATGGCCTAGCAATACCACTTCAGAAAATATTTAAAAGGTGAACTTATTTTATAATAAATAGAAATGGTTCAGAATTTAAATTAATGTTCTCACTTCAGAATCTTCAGCTTAGAGACAGCTCTAAAGTGCTTTTCTGAGTGCTGCTCCTCATGCAGTGACAGCAACAGCAGCCTCAATTTGGGGTGAAACCAGAGATCTATATCTGTGCTTTATGGGTAATTAGAAAGTTCTTTGTAGATATCAAGATAACCACAAGTTCTACTTAGCATCTGTGGTGGTGATTGTGGTTGAACAGGCATGTACTGTTGTAGTTACTGATACTAGAAAAGCTTTAGTTACTTCTTTGTACAGAGAAGAACACGTTCACGGACAGGTTAAATATGTATCATTGCACCTGTACGGAAATTTTGACTGCCTTCCTTATTAGGTAGTAAAACTGAAGAATCAGTTCTTGTTAGTGGTCTTCAACAAAGTGGGTAAATGACTATTTCTACACGTGTTGTATGTAAAAGACCTCATAAATATGAACTAGAACTGTGCCTTGTAACCCTACACACTCCTCCATATTGCAGCTAACAGTTTACTTAGCTTTCCTGTCTTTCATATCTGTTTTTAATCTCTTTAAAATAGTTCTTTCACCTGCCTCCTTATGTTCTTTATGGGAATGAATAAGAATATAAAACAGTAGAAAAGAAAATCGGAAGAATATTCAATTATGTTCTAATAATTTCACACTTAGGAGCCAGAGGCAAGTGAGTTCCCATGAGTTGGAGGTCAACTTGCTCTACATAGACAATTCCTGGCCAGTCAGGGCTGCACAGTGAGAGCTTGCTTCAAAAAACTAAATGAGCAAAACAACAGCAAGAATAACAAAATCAAACAAAAACTCTGAAGTTGACTATTTCATATAGGACATTTACATGAGTCAGTGTGTTGGATTATAAGAATAACAAAGCAGTTTTAAACGTTGAAAGAATCTTCATTCATCCATGTCTACATACAAGGAAGGTACTTGCTCCACTTTAATTCCAAATAACTGTGGTATGAACATAATTTTTTTTTACATTTTTAAATGTAAAAATGGGCACCATGTATGCAGTGCCCCTGGAGGCCAGAAGGGGTCATTGGATCCCTTGGCACTGGAGTTACAGGCAGTTGTGAACCAGCCACCTTGTAGGTGCTGGGTCCTCTACAACAGTAGCTAGTGTTCATAACTACCAAGCCGTCTCTCCAATCCCTGAACATAACAATTTTAATTCAGTCCCTGTTTATGATAGTTTGTTCATTTTTAGCTTTGGCTATATGGATAAAACTTCTATGAATATTTTTATAAGCAATGAGGAACCTCTAATAAGACAGATTTAACTCAGTCTCATAGAGATGACTGGCTAACAGGGTTCTAGACTAGACTACACATGCCAACTCTGATGATCTGTGTTTCTTCATTTCTTCAAGGGTTAGAAATACACCCCATGCTTGGCTCTGTTTATGCTTGATAAACAGCATAGGTCACATAGGGTGAAGGTTTGGTTAAATATACACAGACCTGGTTCTTGTGTTTTACATCCTTAAAGAGAATGGGAAGGGCTAAAATGCTTCTTAGAAAATATATTTATAGTTTTGAGAAAAGGTATTTACTTCAGTCCGTCAAGTAATGGTAGATTAATTCCAAACTATCCTAAAAATTACAGACATTCCACTGTCCTTCTCCTAAAAAGATGTCATTTCGGAAAATGGATCCTAGTTGTACGATAGGATTTTACTGTCGAAACGTCCAGGACTTTGAAAGAGCGTCTGAAGAAATCACTAAGGTACTGTATTAAAAGCACAGTGTATGATGTTTATAAATTACCTGATTTATATTCTATAATGGTAAGTGTGTGAACTGTTACATGTTTGTAAAATTCCACCTTGAATGTTACTAACTTTGGGAAGCCAGCATTTGAGACAAGGTTTCAGTGACTAGTTAAAAGTGTTGTCCACTAGGTGGCAATGTTGAAATAAAAATGCTGCCAACTCTGGCCCTGGGCAAGCAATTAGATTACATCCTATTTGAAGAGGATTTTTAAAGGGCACTCCCTTAGGGGTAGAAGAAAAAAATTAATGAAGTATTTGATCAAGTCAAATTTCATTTCTTTTTAGTCCAAGTGCTTCCTTTATTTATGTATTTTTAAAGAGAAATGATATTTTTGCCTTTCTTGGAACTGCTTTATCAAATGAAGTATGTTGATACCTTTTAATAACTGTCTTGTCTGGCCTGTTCTGCTTAATGGCTCTTTGAAGTAGTCACTCAACTACTTTTTACTTTTAAACTGGTGTGTGTTTTTGGTGTGTGAGTACTGCTGAAACACGTACAGAGCTTTAATGCCTCCCATGTTTGGTACTTTAGGAAAGAAAAAAGATTAGCTGCCCTTGTGAGAAGCCAGAGTAACTGGAGGGGTGTCGTTATTAGTGGTTACATGGACTGTCCTTCCGTGGTCAGAGAGAACAGCACTGGGCTCACTGCGAGGCACTCACTACGTGTGCTCAGATGTAATAGGGATTTTAGTACTGTTTAATGTCCAGTTGAATTTATTTGTTCAGGGAAGTAGACAGATAGTAGGGTAGCATTTGACTTCAGTGGGAAAGTAGACAGATAGTAGGGTAGCATTTGACTTCAGTGGGAAAGTAGACAGATAGTAGGGTAACATTCGACTTCAACAGTGTAAAGACAGCATGAAAATATTAAGTACAAAGTCTCAGATAAGAGTTTTAGTGTACTTGACCTGCCAAGAATGGGAAACTTAACAGGAATGTGACAGAAAAACGAGCAAGGAGGAAGTGAGATCCCCAAGACCTTCCTCCGTCCTGCCCACAGTCTTCACTCTCCCTGGCAGCAGGGAGGTCAGTGAACAGAGCAGAACATGGAGTTCCCATTGCTTCCTCCCTTGAGATCATAATTGACAGTGTATATCCTGGTTTGACAATCCTTTGTCTCTGTACAATACCATGTATGTGCTAAAATACATAAACCCAGGTGATCCAGTGGTAGATGCTGATATTGGTGACCATGTCTCACATAAAGCTGTCTGTCTCTCTGTTTTGATCAGCTTGCTTTCTGTTTGGATCAGAATAAGTGTGTTTGAAACAGGCACACAGTCCATCCACTCCTGTGGCAAAACGAAGCATTTACAGAGGAGTTATGCATTGATCTTTCTGATTAAAAATAGTTATTATGGTCTTCTTCACTGGAAAAGCCATTGGAATTATCGCTGATGTAGCAGAGCAGTGTGCAGTATTAAGGCAAAGGGAAACTGCTGGGGATCTTCTGGAGAACTTGTAAGAACCGGCTCACCGCTTTCTTAGACACTGCCTCACTTGTCAACTGCTTTTGCTTGGGTAGTTCTAAGTTAAGCACACCCCCCCCCCAGACCAGAACTTGACATTCTAGTCAATCAAATTGTTTTCCATATTTTCTATATGTCTTTTCCAATTGGATTTATTTTCTGTTTTCTCATTTTGAAAATGAAGCTAGAGTGTCACGTTGAATTTGTAATGTTCTGTGGGTTAATAGTCTCCTTATGCTGTGTGACTGAAAAGTGTTAATAAAGATTATTAAGCTAATTATTGGATGGAGTTCATTCTGTCAGGTATGTACATAACTACCGTATACAAAGCATAAAGTGGCCAGGATAGAATCCCTGCTTTGAATAAGACATAAAGCTTCTAGCCTCGAGTAACATTTATGCTTAAGGAGCGGGAACACGACAAGCAGACATATATTATGTTGAATATGATAAGCGTCCATATGAAACTAGAAATAAATTGATGAGGAAGGAAGCAAGTTGAACCCAGGGAGATGGCACATCCAAGTCAAAGTATTTTATTGTGAAGGTGATATTTAAGCTGAGTCTGAAAGTGTACCCATAATTTCCATTGCTTAGTGAGAGGGAAAGGACTGAGAGCCAAGGAAATCGTCAGAGGGAAGGCCAAGAGGAGTGTCGCTGTGGTGCACCCAGAGAGGGCCACTCTGATCGGTGCCTGGAGTACATAAAGGACAGCATTTGTGTCCCCTGAGCACTTGAGCCAGAACCCCGAAGGGTGTGGTCTGGAGATTTCAATGTCTAACAAAGCAGTTTTTTACACCAGGAGAGCTACTTGTGAGTTAGCCCAGGGTCATGATGCTTGATGTTTTCAGGCATTACTAGGGACAAACATTTAATGCATATATCTATTTCTCTTCTTACCAGAAAGCATGGTGGGTATAGTAACCATATGCTTTCTCATTTTCATTCATTTTACAAAATAGTATAAATGATGAAAGGAAAGTGTTCATTAGTCATACTAGAGGTAACATACATAGGAAAGCAGCAAAGGCCACATGTGAATGGGAATGTCTGTGCTTAGGAAGCCTTGTACCAGGAAATAGCGCAGGATGAGTGACATAGAAAAGTACATTGACATAATATTATAGAGAAGCACGAATGTCAGGCTGAAGCAGCACATTAATAATGTATTTTGTGACATTAAAATTTAAATTTCAGGCATATAGACACATGAAGAAAAATGCCTGTATTCTACCATCGAGCTTATGAAAAATTACACACGTGCTATAATTGGTTACAAATCCAGTGTACGTGGCTCTTTCCCAGTTGCATTCCTTTTCTTACTTGTTACTGGTAACTTCCATATTGGATCAGTCTGTCACACCCATACATTATACATCCACAAGCATCATATATTACTTTGTATGTTATTACATTTCTCAGTCTTCCTTTTGTTGATGGTTATTTAGCTTGTTTCTAAGAACCTAAAATTGCTTACTTCAGTTTTTTTTTGTTGTTGTTGTTCGTTTGTTTTGTTTTGGAGACAGCATTTCCTTGTATAGCCCTGATTGTCCTGGAATTAACTCTTTAAAACAGACTGACCTTGAACTTACAGAGATCTGCCTGCTTCTGCCTTCCTCAAGTGCTGGGATTAAAGGCATGCACCACTTCAGTTTTTAGTTACAAATAATATTCTATTTTTTATTTTCTTTTTAAAAGAGACATTTATTTTTATGTGCATGGGTATTTTACCTGCAAGTATGTAAGTATATCACATGAAATGCAGTCCCTGCAAAGGCCAGAGAGGGCGTTGCCATGGTGTGAGCTGCCATGTGGCTCAGGGGATTGAACCCAGGCCCTCTGCAAGTGCTTTAATTTCTAAGCCATCTCTCCAGTTCTACAAATAGTATTTTAAAGAATATTCTTCTCTTTTCCTTCACTCCAAGACAGGGTTTCTCTGTGCAGCAGTCCTGGCTATCCTGGAGCTCACTTTTATAGAACAGTCTGACCTCAAACTCACAGAGATCTGTCTGCATCTGCCTCCTGAATACTGGGGTAAAAGGCGTGTGCCACTACCACCTGGTCCTAAAGAATATTCTTGTGCATATCTACTTCTTTTAGGACTGCATTTGTCATACTCTGCATACCAATCAGAGTAGAAAGGCTGGGCGTAGGGATGCATGGTTCTGTGTTTGCCACATGCCATTCAATGCTATCCAAGGTGATACCAAGGAGCAGAATGCAAGAATTCCCAATGCCTTGCATGATGACACGTGAAACTATCTGACTGAACATTTTAATCAGTCTACTGGACAGAGGTCATATCTGTTTGTGTTTTAATTTGCATTTCTCTGATTGATAGTGAGGCTGAACATCTTGTCTAGGGTTACTGACCATTTGGCTCCTCTTTTGTGCATTTCTGATTCCTTTTCCTCTATTCTTCATTAGGGCTACTTATGCGGGAAGGCTTTGTAAATCTGGACACTACTAGTTTGATGACTTTATATTTTGTAAAGGCTACTATTTACTTGTTAATGATAACTTTAATTTTAATATGCCAAGCAACTATTTTTTATGTTTTTTAAATTTAGTATCAACAAAACATTTATCGACCAAGGAGTATAAACATATTGATTTCTTTCAGAACTTTCATGCTTCTATTCTACTTAGGAACTTCCATGTTTTCCCCACACCGATAACGGTTGGCCTGGCATCCTTTATCAAGTGTAGTCTTTCTTGGTTGATTTCTAATGCCCCTTTCAAGGAGAAAGCTGAGAATCAAAGGCATGAGGTTGGAGAGGAAGGACTTGTGAGAACGTCTGTAAAGAATCAGTAAGATCAAACAGGCACTCGGACTTAGATCAAGGAAAAGAGAGAGCAGAGGCAGGTCTGGAGGACTAGGAGAGAAAGCAGGTCATTGATATGTTCGGCCACCTAGTCAAGAAAAATTCAAGTGCTTTACACCTCCCTTTCCTGCAGAACCCAGCAAAACTGCTGAGCCTATGCAGCCACACCTACTGATGTAACCTGGCTTTTCCTCTTCATGCCCTAACAGAGGAATTTAACACACGGTTCCGTTTGCACAGTTAGGTTTACTGGAATGCATTCACAGTGGCTGTTGGCTTCCTAGGATCTGATGGGGTAGCTCTCTTTAGCTCTGTCTCTGGTCTTTCTATTATTATCCCTCCATCTCATCTATTGCCCTTCCTATTTTCTCTCTCTTACATTTTTTTGGGGGGGGTGTTTCCGAGGCAGGGTTTCTCTGTGGCTTTGGAGGCTGTCCTGGAACTGGCTCTTGTAGACCAGGCTGGTCTCGACCTCACAGAGATTTGCCTGCCTTTGCCTCCTGAGTGCTGGGATTAAAGGCGTGCGCCACCACTACCCGACTTCTCCCTTATATTTTTTATGTCCTTTATTTTCCTACATGCTTTTTAATTTATGGAAAGACCCTGTTGTGGTTCGAGTCTCAGATGTTCCTCACAGGCTCTCGTGTTTGAACATCTGCT